GAACTGCGACGATATCCGTATAGTGGTAACCCCAATGGACATCACCTCTTCCTCTGCACGAGCCCGCTGACGGACGGTTGATCACTGAGAAGCCCGACGGTCTGGTGATTCAGCATACCCGACGTGCGCTGCCGTCGTCCCGTACGAGAACCCGCTGCCTTACAGGGACTCACCACCAGGACGAGGCGCGCTTGCAGCCCCGCTCCGCGTCAAGAAAGAGACCATCGTTCGCAAAGTATCGCGTAGCGAGCTCGCGAGCCGCACTGTCGGGGCTTCTGGGGCTCTGGCGCGCTTCGCATCTTCGTACTGCCACCATGTGTGCATGGAGGCTCACTCAGCCCTCCGAGGCACACGGCGTCATGTGCCGTGTAGCTGCACGGAGCGGGAGACTCGCACGCTGGGATCGCTGTTTGCGCGACCTCTTCCGTCGGTACGGGCCCTGATTGTCGACGCGGGCGCGGCGGTATTTCGCGACAAAAGGGCGCCGGCGAGAAGGCACCCACGCATCAATCCGATGTAGACGTCGTCCGGCCGGCATGCACTTGGTAGTGCGTCGAAGTCGCATACTGGCGTCAGCATTTCTGACCTAAGCCACAATGGGAGGTTTGTCAGAGGCCCAGACTGCCCAGCTTTCAGCATGCTTCTTGGTTGATCAATCAAGAGGACGCCATTCACCTTCCAGAACTAGTCGACTTTTCGGTATCGAAGTGGATAGTTCTCGGAGAACGCACAGCACTGCATAAAAACGATGTTGTACAAGTGCATATGTCAGATCCAAGAACACAGCTTGCACAACAATGATGGCAACATACCAGGCTAAACAGTATAATTCGATAACGCTTCTTGTTCTCCGTCGCACTACTTCACTGGAAAGACCCCACACCTTTGCCGTTCAACGTACATTGGCAAGAACTTTCACTCAAGAGACATCTGACCTGCTGATCGACTGATACTCCATCCAAATGATTGATATTACAAGTACAACGATACATCCATGATCATAACCGCGTCAGAGAACAAAGGCCAGTACACCACGTGGCGCAACGCTCAGAAACCACCACGGAGACGGAGAACAAGGTGAAGCGTGCTCTCCTTCTGAATGTTGTAGTCCGAGAGCGTGCGGCCATCCTCGAGCTGCTTGCCAGCGAAGATAAGGCGCTGTTGGTCGGGAGGGATGCCCTCCTTGTCCTGGATCTTCGCCTTCACATTGTCGATCGTGTCCGAGGACTCAACCTCCAAGGTGATCGTCTTGCCCGTAAGCGTCTTGACGAAGATCTGCATACCGCCACGCAGACGGAGGACGAGGTGAAGGGTAGACTCCTTCTGGATGTTGTAATCGGAAAGAGTACGACCGTCCTCAAGCTGCTTGCCAGCGAAGATAAGGCGCTGCTGATCAGGAGGGATACCCTCCTTGTCCTGAATCTTCGCCTTGACGTTGTCGATAGTGTCCGACGACTCGACCTCCAGGGTAATCGTCTTACCCGTGAGGGTCTTGACGAAAATCTGCATACCACCACGGAGGCGGAGGACTGCACCAAAAGTGAGCATCAAGTACAATCGTTCAAGGGACGGAACATAAACGTACCGAGGTGGAGCGTGCTCTCCTTCTGGATGTTGTAGTCGGAAAGAGTGCGACCATCCTCCAACTGCTTGCCAGCGAAGATGAGACGCTGCTGGTCGGGAGGGATGCCCTCCTTGTCCTGGATCTTAGCCTTGACGTTGTCGATGGTGTCGGACGACTCGACCTCGAGGGTGATGGTCTTGCCGGTCAAAGTCTTGACAAAGATCTGCATACCTCCGCGAAGACGGAGGACTGCAGCAGCCGGTGAGTAAGCGAGGACAACAACTTGTAGACAGATGACTAACCGAGGTGGAGAGTAGACTCCTTCTGAATGTTGTAGTCAGAAAGAGTGCGCCCGTCCTCGAGCTGCTTCCCGGCGAAGATGAGACGCTGCTGGTCGGGAGGGATGCTGTTCCGAACGTTAAATATACTCATATATGCGCATAGATAGTAGTTGCTCACCCCTCCTTGTCCTGGATCTTGGCCTTGACGTTGTCAATGGTATCCGAGGACTCGACCTCGAGAGTGATGGTCTTGCCGGTAAGGGTCTTCACGAAGATCTGCATGCTGCACATAGAAGGCTTAGGAGCGGAACTCGAGTGAAGTATATCGAGCAGACATACATGAATGTAGGAGGAAGGAATGAGGGTGTGGTGGGTAGAGATGGTGGTTGGAGAGAGAGAGGGGAGAGGCGTCGCGGTTGCTTATCAAGGGCGGGGTACCGGACAACGCCGGGCGTCAGTGGCGTGCACTGCGGCGAACTGGTCCAGGCCCTTCTCGCGTCTTGATTGGTTCGTTAGGAATACGCGCCCGCCCGACGTCATCGCAGTCACCGTCGTCCCGCCGCCACCGGCAGTTTCTTCACCTGTCTGCAGACTCCCACTTTGTTCTCTGCGTCGTCAGTAATGACTTGCCCGTTTCTATGCTTCTTTCACCATCCTTGCCACGCTAGAGCTGTCGACTGCATTCCCTGGCCTATGCACAAGACACCAAGTGCTTACGGTCTTGCTAACGTGAGACAATGAAGTGAAGCAATCACTGCACGCGGCGGGGGCGTGTATCATTAGCAGCGAACGCTCAACAACCTACCGAGGCCGCGGAGGATAGTGCTTCTATCAGTGCAGACGGTGTGTTCTATCTATCGTACCCCTCTTCACCTGGATCACCTCTATCAGGAAGATCGATGAACAACACTCTACCTGGACCTTATGGACATCCTCGCGCCCGCAATTCGCCGCGAGGATGGACCAATCTCCGTGTTTCATAGTCACAGTGAATGCTCGTCGTGGAGGCTCGTTGTGGAGGCTTGAACGGCTGACCGTACGATTCTAAGATCAAGCACGGCGGCAAGCCTGGATGTCTGCTCTCCCAGTATCTGCCGCAACTTGCCAGACCGTTTACGTGTATAGTGGAGGAGTTGTTATTCCCAGTCAGTCGGATGATAGACGAGAAATGCGATCACCTACCTTTCATTTCAGAGGGTACGGTGCGTGAGCATGTAGCCGTTGACTCGTCATCTTGTCCAGCTTTCGATTATGATGCGTCGCCGGTTGTGTCCTAAAACCCATAGAAAATACCGGATGACCACTTGAGGGATATGCACAAACACGGACAAGACTTTAAATAGGCTTGAATGGATATGTAACGGCCTTACACGTTCTTCCAGTCTGTATAATGCAGGACTCAACCTCAGTCTCGCAGAACGCAGCGTTATCACCCAGTGTGAGGAATCAAGCTCGATAGAGAGTAGTCGGAAGTTTAGGAAGCAAGCCTTCGCGGATGCCCTCGTAGGGGACCAAGCCAAACTCGCGCTGGTCAAGTACGTTCGTGGTACGTTCGTGGCCCCGTGGGCTAGAAGGTCTGAATCGAGGGCGACCCAGCTTTACCACATGCACCGTCGCCACCGGAGGAGGCAGGCCGCTGCCACGATACGTGTTCACTCTCAGTGTAGATCGCAGTCAGCGCCGTTCGCCACAGACTTACGCCATTGTCCAGCAGGAACATATCCTAAAGACATCGAGTACGCATGGCGAGACTCACGCTGACGCTGAGGCTGAGCAGAGGCGCCCAAAGAAACGCGAGCACGTGGGCGCGTCATCGACTCATCGGCGTGCATGGCCGGAGGAGATGTTGTCCCCGTCTCGCGTAGTAGTATGTGAGCCCACGCTTTCTCTTGTCCGCTCGACGCGCAAGAGCGAGTGAGCCCGGTGGACAGCTTGAGAACGTAAATGCATCCAACCTTGGAGCTTATTCAATCCGGTGTCGCTGCGCGGCGGCGATCGTTTGCCTTTGCTTCACCATCCTCTAGGTATAAGAGCACGTCGGAGGCTCGCTCGGAATCCTCAGCAAAGCATCGCTCTTCGCTCATTCCCTCTTCCTTACGACTACCACTTACGAAGTCTACGCCTTTCATCATCATGAGCTCGCAATCTTCTTCCACTGGGCTGCTCACCAAGTCCCTCGTCGTGCTCTTCGCCCTCTTCGGCGTGTTCTTCCAGCTCGCCGCCGCCGTTCCGGTTGCAGAGATGGAGAAGCGCGACATCTGGGATCCCCAGTTGCTCTACCCTCACGCGGGCACTGTGTGGTACAAGGGACAGACGCACAATGTTACTTGGTATGTAGTATTTCGTAGCCTCGGTTACTTCATGCATCTGATCTGCTTCATAGGGATAACTCCAACCCTCCGTCTAACCTGACCAACCCCGTCGGCATGATCCTCCTCAAGGCAGGCACTACTGCAACCCCTCGTACGTCTATTGAATATCCTGTACACTGCGGCGCGGTGCTAACCGGCGGAAATAGTCATCCTGGCAGACGGCTTCAGTATTCTCGACGGAAGAGTCGAAGTCACTGTCCCATGGGTCCTCGAGGCGAACGACTACAGCCTCGTCCGTGAGTACCCACCGCGATCGCTTCGTTCCAAGCACAAGCTAATGTGCCCATCCCCATCGTAGTGTTCGGCGACTCCAGCAACGTCGGCCCTCAGTTCACAATCCTGCAGTAAACGGTAGAGCTACCGCACTACGGTAGAGGAGTACTGTAATTTGGAGTTTGCCCTTGGGGCGCAGTGAGCGAGATGGACGTGGACTTCTTACTTTGGCTATGGACTTCTTCGTATACGACTGTTACGCGCATATTCTTCGACGGACAATGAATCGGATTTGCTGAGTGTGATCACATAGTCTTGCAGCGATGGAACGATACAGTGCATGACTGCACAGCACGCAACCTGCGTATCCTGTCCGGGAACTTGACATCAGATGGCGGTGATCATTTAGACAAATTCTTCCAAAAGCTCCAACTCAGGGAGATCGAGTACAGCGTACTATTCTATCCCTCCATCCCCTTAATAGAACGCATCGGTACGTCTGCCTAGGGGATGCATGTGAGGTACGTACATTTAGGCGTGTCTATTGTTGGCGGGGAGTTAAAGCACCATGAACCCTTGGCACAGTGGTAGCGCGTGAGATTCCAGTTGACCGGCTTCTACGGTTACATGGGGATTCCTCAAGGTCGTCCGTTCAATCCGGGCAGGGTTCAGTTTTGACTGTCATTTTTCGATGCTTTTTGGAGGCTAAGAAGGGGGGGAAACGTTTAAAACATGCATACCGCCTGGGAGGGCGGTCTGACAGGCAGCATAGGATGAGTGGTCGGATTAGGCAGTCGCTGGAGGGAGGAATCGATGAAGCAGCGCTCGATCGTAAGAAGCACTTGGTAAATCTTGATGTCTCCACTCCGACGCATACTCCCCATGTCTATACACTAGGAACACTTGCAGCAACGACACTTTCAAGTTCTCGGTCTGTCCAGGATGAATTTCATTCCATTAAATTAACAATAGTAAACACGACGGCAATGATGCACAACAGGCCCTGTCGATGCCCTAGCCGTTGTAGGGACGAAGGCTCGGGTTCAACCAGTCATACATGACGACACCCGAGTACTGCTCTCCATCGACCTGGCCGCCGACGGCGCTACCTACCCAACGGTGGTAGATAGGCTGGTCAAGGACGAGGCTGAGGCCGGTGAGGTTGAACTGGTACTGGTCCCCGTTCGCGAGTGTGTAGTCGAGGATGAAGCCCTCCATGACATTCACGCCGCTCGGAGCGTCGAAGCCCAGGCCATACGGGGTGATCGAGATCGAGTCGTCCTTGCGCGATCCTTGCAAGCTGCACTGGTTCTGGAGGATCGTGCCCGAGTGCTCGAGGAAGCCGGTCGTGAAGTCGTTCGTCGAGCCGGTGATCGCGGCGTACACCGCGGAGAGGTCGAACGGCCCGACTTGCGCGTCGAAGAAGAACCACTCGTCCATGAACTGGTCGATCGGCTGCGGCATCCAGTTCGCGTCGTGGTAGCCTTTGCCCGTGATCGTGAGCGGGCTCCCGCTCAGCACGACATCGACCTTCGCGTCGCCGCCGGGCTGCGAGGTCGCCCACCCGAGCTGCTTGAAGAAGATCTCCTCGTTCGCCGAGAGGGACGCCCCAGCAGGGATCGCGCTGTCGAAGTACGGGCTCGTCGTGGTGTTGCAGCCGAAGTGCGAGGGGCCGTCCGTGTTGATCTCGAGCGTGCCTGTCACGCCGAACTCGGGGGCGTCGAGGCTGACGGTGAACTTGCTGAGGTCGGCGGAGTTCTGGAACGAGCCTGCTCCTGCCCAGGTGCCGGTGACGGCCTCGCCCTGGTAGGTCACGGAAGAGGAGGCGGCGGGAATCTGGTACGCGAAGACCGTCCCGTTGGCGAATGCGCCGTTGATGACGATATAGTTTTCAGGTGCACTGGCACCACCTGCAGCTTCCTTCAAAGCCGAGATGGGGTAGCCTAGAGAAGAGTCGTCAGGATGGTGTGCTTAGGGCAAAGAAGGCTTGCTAACCTTGATAGAACGTAACGTGGAAACTGGCGGGACCTTGTCCGTCCTCGATCGGACCGCCAACCTGAACCCACCACCATTCGGTAGCGTTGTTCTGGGAGTTGACGTTGATGTATTGCCCGTCGTGGGGAATCGACTGGCGCTTGACGAGGCCTGAAGGCAACAGTTAGCAAAGAGATTCATGACTGATACTTGAGAGAGAGACGAACCTGCGAGACAGCTCGAGGCCAAGCCAAGGATGGCAGAGGAGGCAAGGAAAAAGGCTCCACGCATTTTGAAGAGGAGAAAAGGGAAGAGAAGAGGAAAATGGGCGAATTGCAATGACCAGCAGAAGGTCCGCAAGTTCTCAATTTTATACTCGCAGCTCTAGAGGCGATCACAAGCTCGATGACGACTCCCGCGTCGTAGCACGTTCTAACGCGGCTTCGGGAGACGGTTTCACCATCGAATCAAGCCGAGGTGTGAGCACTGGCTGTTGTCCGTACACGCCCGCTCGAGCCAGATATCCATAGATATCCTAAAAACCAGATATCCCGCGGATATCCTGCTGATACCAATGGATAACTTTCGGCCACGCGCAAGTTTATATCAGTTCCGAGACATCCAGCAGATATCTGGGACTGGACATCCAGTGGATATCCGGACGCTGGAGGCGCGCGCCTAATCATACGGCAGCCTGCTCCGCTGCCTCTGGACCACTTTGCATCGCTGTACTGAGAATCTAGTGCGACGTATCTGCACGATATACTACAAATCTAAATACAGTCACAAGATGGACCAGATACACATGTATATACGCTGAGATATGTGCAAACACTACGAGTAATAGGTCGGAAGTACAGTGGGGACTGGGACCACAACAAGGACGAACATACACACCCATCATGCTGAGTAGATCACGGAATGATATTGCAGCCATGCTCTGGCTCTGGTGGACGGTACAAATAGGCGGGGAGGGATGATGAGAGCCTGGTGTTGGACTTACACATAATGGACCGCGACGACGCGGCCTTCACGATCGTCAAAGTTGACGGTGGTATTGATATCGTTGTTGCGGAGGTGACTTGGGAGGCAGGCAGTGAACTGAGGAAGGGAAGAAAGGTTAGAGATGGAGCTGAGTATTGAGCGACAAGAGACACTGAGAGTCTAAGTGAGTCTCAAGGTAGAGGGAGGTGGTGAGGGAGACTTAGAGAGATTCGGACTCTGGGCATGCCAGCGGGACTCGCAAGCTTCGCGACGTTCCCAGGGCCTTAACGCCCGTGAAAAGGTAGCTCAGCGGGATATCCAGGTCACAGATATAGGGCGGAGACATAGTCGGTCTCTGCCGTAGCTCTGAGAGCGCTCTGTCGCTTAACTGAAAGCGGACATCGGGCAGATGTCCCTTCGCACCTCCAGCCGAGGTCTACTTTCAGATATCCAGCGGATGTCTGATTGGGATCCCTCGGATATCAGGCAAATATAAGCCTATACCTTTCGGCCAAATACCTCTGTGGATATCTGGCTCGATGGGCCGTGTAGATCGGTTGAGCATGGTCAGCACTTCGGTGATCTTGCGGTGTGCCCGTGATGTCTCATGAGCGGCATAACGTCCTTGGTAGCTTGGACTCTCAAGATTCACCAAGTCCAGCACGGTACGCATCAGAATTTGTATGTGCCGTATGTGGTGAGTGCAGCCGCATTCGGTCCATAGCTGGCGAAGCTGCGTGGAGCGCTCGATCGTTTGGTCATTGAGTGAAGTCTGGGTATGTAGAATCTGGGTGGTCAGGTCAGTACATCGTAACATACGGCGAAGGCCGGCATCGACAGTCGTTTGTCTGGGAATACAAAGTATCCCGGCAAACAGGTTTTGTGATCAAAACATTGATCCTGAATAGGCCGCCTTTGCAATGATTGAATTGCTTCGCATAACTACCCCAGAATTCGATGACCCTGGTGTAGATCTCTACGCTGTGTACAGCTTCGACGCAGTCATGCCGTAGCTTCGCATCTCAATTGGGACTGAGGGCCACTCTGGGTTACTGCGCGTGCGTAAGCAACGCCAGCAGAGGCGCGGGGGCACCGGGGGGGCATTGAGTCGTACACTCCGACAACTGGGCAGAGGAACTAAGCCGCATACTCACCGGGGCCCTTCGGACAACATCATCCCAGGCCGCCAAGTGAGTGCGATGGTTCACGTACATCAGATGGGCACTTCAGGCGGGTCCTTGGCTCGGGAAGGACATGCTCGGTGATTGCGGGTTTGCAATAGCGAACGAGATTGAGATGCCGAGGCACTTGATCCTTTCCAAATCGTCAAACTACTGTGACTCTGGAGCTTTGTTGAACGACTGTATAGCATTATATCTCCGAGAAGTACGTGAGGATATACGATGAAGCGAGTACACGTCCGCGGACGTACCTTTCCCGTACCGAATTCTTTTCCGTGCAATGATTTTGATACTGGCAGACTCACTATTATAGTTACTGGCTACTTCACAGTAACCAGCGCGTATAGCGGGGTAGCTATCATCTTGATGCTCGAACCTGAGTACTTGGCGTCCATTCTAGAGTGTAACGATGAGGAGGTATGGCTGGGTTCTGAGCTCTGTTATGCACAAGCAGGTTTGGCCAGGGTCTGGCTGAACAGTCTGGCAAACAAGAGCTCCATGGACGAGGTGGTACCGCCGAGCGACGAGTGGGGGGAAAGACTGGGGAAAGAGTCCAAAAACTCTGAGAGGACAAGCGCCCGTATTCCATCCCCCCGGAGACAGGGCCGATCCGCCGGGGTGGGTCATATGGGCGTCTATAGCACCTTGTGAGTCCTCCACAACGTCGGTATTGGACTCTCATGCTTTCCGCGCTATAGGCTGTATAGACTCCTTTTCATCATCGGTCGAAGCGTGCCGACTCTTAGGCTATGAGAAATATATGCTGAATTGTCCACTCTTGTGTGACGTTTATAGCAGACGTGCCACATTGCCGGATGAGGCTGCTGTAACGTCTCTATTCTCAACCTCCGTGAGTGCCCATATGCATCCCAATCCCGCCTTACCCGCCCTCTCATTCACGCGACGTTCGCAATCCGTTCCAATGGTGATAGACAAAGGCCCATACAGAAGACGATGTGGGTTGCCTTGCCTCGCGTACACGGGAGCACCTCTCACGCTGCACAGCAACTTGAACTTAACTCCGACTTGTCCAACTTCGGGCCCTCCTTATCCGCCACCGACGAGGTGCAACGCGACTACCCGTTCTCATAGAGTATTGTGTCTGGGTCAATGCTCCAGCTTGTCAACTGGCCCTTCCATTCTAGCCAAGACAACGGATAGAACGTCTCTGTCGTCGAGCGCACGTCCGGTCCCGGGTCCGCTCATCGGAGACGCGCGTCGCCGTACGCTCTCCAGCCGGTCTCCTCAGGCTCATACGCGACGACGCACGAGGTCAACGATCAGACTCACTCACACCTTCACTCAAACACTCGAAGCCCTTCCTGTCACAGCTGCGGTCTCCATCTGTTGCCGCCTTGCGACACTCGTCGGGCGTATACCCCGTCGAGGAATGCGCCGTCCCGGCAGTGTTTTTCTCGGTTGGTACATGGCATTTGCATTGTGATGGGTGATCTCTCATGCAGTCGTGCGAAAGCAACGCAGGGCCGCAGGCCGTCTGTCCGATGGTTTTTCAGTGCGCAAAGGGTAGCCGT